CTAAGGGTTGAAGAGTCAAAGTTATAGTCTTTTTTTTTTATCATATTTTGTTGTATAATTTTTGTGTGTGTTTCTGTGAGCAGGTGGAGTTGGAGGGGTGGGATTTACTCCTCATGTGATTACCGTGAAAGCCGGCGAGGTGGGTTTGTTTTATAAGTAATATATGAAGTTATAATTGCCGTTGTTTCAGAGGGAATGGAAAATATTATGTATCTGAAGGCAGGCTTGAAATTGTGTGAGGGTTTCTTGGCTGAATGCTATTGTATTTGGGGGATAACTAAAAGTTCTTAAATTGAATTTTCAAATGTTTTAAGCTTCCTGTGTCGGTGAAATCATCCATTTTGTTTATTAGTACCGTGAAGGAATTTCTTCGAGCCCTTCGAAATACAGCTCTAGAATAATGATTTTGAAAAATTATTAAGTAACTCATCCTATAATTCCTAAGTGGAGCACTATCAAGTGATTTAGCTCTAACTGGATGTTTGCTCACTCCAAATGCTGGGCAATGGAAATTGTGTATAGCATGTGGAAAGTAGCTTTAGTCATGACATGTTTACCCTTTTCTTGTTGTCGAAGATTCATTGACAGAGATACTTCTATAATTGAGTGTTAAAGTGTGGTGGATGGATTAGTTTACCTCTTCCAGTTGATAACTTGAGGCAGAATGCATACCGTTATTCCATCACAGATGGATCTATCTTAAATAGTATTGCACGACAACAAACTTGCGATACTTTCTTCTTGGAAATATTCTGATTGCTTATGTTTGTATATCTTGAAACTTGTTATTTGTGCCTTATTGCGTAGTCTTTGGGTTTGCAGGATATAGCGGCTAAAATTATGGCTTTTTCACAACAAGGACCTCGCACAGTCTGTATTCTCTCTGCAAATGGTGCCATCTGTAATGTTACACTCCGTCAACCAGCAATGTCTGGTGGTACAGTGACATACGAGGTAACTTTGACATCATTTAAGATTTATCTGATAAAGTTAGCTTAGGCTTATTAACGCATCTGCTCAGCACCTTGGCTTAGATAGGATTGCTTTCATATTTCCAAGGCTGCTGAAGGACCCTTGACAGAAAAAAAGAGAGTTTCCTTTCTCTCTGTCTATGTCATTTGTGCGTATTGCACACACACCTTGGTGTCTTTCTCTCTTTGGGAGAATACTTTCTATATTTTAACATTTAATTTTAAGAAAATGTATTTTTAACCTATCATAAGTTTCTTGTCACATGTTAGGATCACAGTCCAATGCCCTCGTTAGTGTGGCTACATTTTTTTTTATCCAGTCCTCATATGTGCTAGTTGGGTTTTTTGGAGTATGGTTGTGCTAGATGAATTCTTAGATACAATTATTAGGCTTAGAGCTAAAATTTCATGTCAATAAACACATGGGTGTAATAGGCAGTCACAGATATAGGATGTTAAGGCCAACTAATTGAGAAGAGTGAGCTGCAAGTAATATGCAGTTATCTGATCCCTTCTTGGACCTTGAGGAGTTATTATGAGCCAAGGACAGTTCTGGAAGATCCTTGAAATTTGAGTCAATTGTTGTTTGCAAGAATTGGGGTAAAATATTGATCCTTTGAATGGATGCTCCCTCTTTTTGTTTTACCCTTCCATTCCCTATTATGCTGTTTCTTCGTAAATGCAACTAATTTGCTGAAAATACCATTGCCACCAATTTAACAACAGCAACAGCAATAATAACAATCTTACAAAATAAAACATAAAGCATAGCTGCCATCTTTTGAAGGATAGCTAACAAACCATCAAAACACTGCAATCCGTATGCATAGACACATATGTCCATGTAAAAAACACCATATAGATTGTATGTACCCAAAAAAAAAGAAGAAGAAGAAGAAGACAGCATATAGATTATATGGTGGGAAACCTTAAATTGGAAACCCATATGCCAGAAAATGATACACACAGACCCAAATGAAATGCAGTCTTGGGTCAGTCGTCTCCTATGCACTGCTAATTCATATTCAAAGTATCGAACATCCTCCATTAATAAGAGCTAGCAAAAATAAGGTTGATTTGAGAGCGAGGGAGTGGGTGAGCCAGCATGTGAAAGTGAGAGATTGAGAGGAGGGATGAATAATAATCCTATGCAGCCATGGTTTTTTTTAACTTACCCCATGGGTTCTATCACTAGAGTTTATTTCAGAGTTTATAGCTAATGGCATCAAACACACGTATTAAGCTGAAATCTCATCCTTATTTGGTTATAAAGACATGAAATATTTATTACCAAAATGGACTATACAATTTTAGCAGTTTGAATTATTTTCCCTTTATCAATTATGCGCAATTTAATTATGGCATAATTTTTTATTGCAGGGCCGATTTGAAATTATTTCTCTGTCAGGTTCCTTCTTGCTTTCTGAAAATAATGGTAGTCGCAGCAGGTCTGGTGGTTTGAGTGTCTCCTTGGCTGGATCTGATGGTCGAGTGTTAGGTGGTGGAGTTGCGGGGATGTTACAGGCAGCATCACCAGTTCAGGTATATCTTTCTTACTTTTGTGTTTGCAATTGCCTTGTTCATATGTATAATTACTAATTACCATAAAATTATAATAATGTGATGACATATTTTCTGCATGCACACCTCAGAAGCCTTGAGCAGCTTGGGATTGAAACTTGGTTGAATTTAGTTGTTTGCATCACAGAAGCCATTATTTACTGTGTAACCATGTGGGTATCAAAGGAAGTGTCTGACTTGTCATGGCATGGCAAATAAGTCAATGTGTTTCGTTCATTCTTGTTTCATGAGTGTGTTTTTTTATCTCCTGCCAGGTTATTGTTGGCAGCTTTATAGCAGATGGGAAAAAACAGAGCACAGATATTTTGAAAAGTGGACCTTCCTTACTAACACCAAATATGCTGAATTTTGGAGCTCCAGCATCAACGAGTAGCCCTCCTTCGCAAGGTGGCTCTAGTGAGTCTTCTGATGAGAATGGCGGCAGCCCTCTTAATCGGGGGTCTGGATTCTACAGTAATTCTGCTCCATCTATTCATAATAACAATATGCAAATGTACCCACTTTGGACTGGCCACACTCCACAATGAAGATGCTACTGAATTAACAGTAGAGCACTTTGGGCATCGACTTGGCGATTGTTCTTGCATAACAGCTAGAGATCAAATTCCAAATGCTAACATGCCTTAAAGAATAGGAATGGTAGAGATTCATTTTTCTTCTAGATCGAGTTTTTCCTTCTTCTTTTGAGTAGTTTTCAAGTTTTCTTCACCTCATCGAAACATGGCTGCTGTTGAGAGCTGAGAACATTCCTCCTATTTCTTAGAATCTCAAATTTACTTTTTCCGAGTATTGTTTCTCTACTGGTTGCTGTTGTTAGGTTTCAGATGTAAAACTCATTTTAAGAATATGATTATCACAGGGAGTCCTCCATAGCACATAATTGATTAATTAAATTTTATTTTATTGCTTTTCCTAACCAGTGTTTTTAGAGAAGAAATCTCTGAGATTAATTAAGATATCATACATAGTAATATTGTTATATTAAATGTTGCAAGATTTAAAAAAAGAGTAAATCCGTATAGAAAGAGGACAAAACATTGTAAGACAGTGCTTGCACAGTGCATGCCAGCCAGAGTTGTAAAAGCTGTGGACATGTTCAAAGTCTAGGTCTGGGTGATCAATCTTCTGGAATCCTCTTTGACAGATCCAAGTCATATGAAATCATGGAGCATCTACGACCAAGGAAAGACTTGGAGAGTGGGCTTTGGAAACATGTTCTGTCTTAATGATGGAAGTGTGAATAAATTATTAATGATCCAAGCCCATTGAAGCCACATGCAAAGCACAAGCACAGAAACCGCGTGAGGAGAAAGTCTGATACCACCCGAGGATTGTTGGGCGGCTCCTAACACACGACTGGAAAGTTGGAAACTGATTTTCCACCTTATTTCTTCATCATTACAATTTTATTATTCCAAAAAAACCTAGCAGGGTTTATGTATATATACAACCTTACCTAAATTCTTGTTATTTTCATTTTTAGCCTTCTGAACCTTCTTAATGATGCTTGATGAACTACCTCGTTTCCTTCGGTTAATTGACCACATTTGTATATAATAACACGAACAAATGTGCCAAGTGCCCGTCCTAACACATATGTGGAAATTAACAGATTTTGGTTGCCGATTTGGTTTACCTAATCTGTAAGTGAAGACGATGTTTAAGCTAAAAACCTTTTATCAATAAAATTAATGTATTGACTTCAATTTCATCGTGTTTTTATGATTATTCGACTTTGATTAAAAAATATTTACTTTTATGATTAAATTTTAAGAATAATGGATAAATGAAATTCTGTTTATATAAAAAATTTTATTATCCATTGATTTAAGGATGAGATATTTGCTTTAAAATTTTATTAAATTTAAAGTTTAACTAATATAATGTAAAAACTCTACTTTGTTTATGAAAAAAAATATGCATGAAAAAGTTTGATATGTAATAAAATCTATAAAAAAAAAAAGAAGGAAAACAAGTAATGTATTGGTGAATGAATGAATTGGATATATAGATAATATAGTGGGCGTTTTAACTCTATTGTTCATCATATATACACGTAGACACGAATTCTAGTAGGAAAAATACAAAACGCATAAATTTCAACGCGGACTTTTGCACATGACATCGTAATCGGACTTCAATCACAACGCTGCTGCTGCTGCCGCCTGGCGCGGATCCTACACAGATATTGTCTCTTCCCACGCGCCTCTCAATTCTTTGCAGTTTGCACTATAAAGTCAGTGCCAAGGGCCAAGTGTTACTGCATTTTTGCACCCTCAATTCTGTTTTGCTGAATTACAATCTCCTTTGGCATATTCTCCCATGAACTCAATGATTCTGGTAAGACTGTGCGTTACTTATTATCTTCAACAATTCAGCCCTCCTCGATGCCTTATAATCGAATATTATTAACTAAGTTGAGATTTAAGTACCTCAAAATTAGAGATATCTTACTCTTTATGTAGCGAGCCCGAGAATTGATGAGCACACTCGCATGGATTGAGAGTGGTATTTGCTCAATCACAAGTCTTATTCCAATTCCTACTACCAAAGAGATATGCTTGTACACAAGCCAACGGCTCTTTTGGCCAGCAAAACCCTTTTACTCCCAACCAAACTTTACTACCTAAAAAACCCATTAAAATACCTACTGCAATTTATAATACCTTTTCCTTTGCTTTGCTTGTAAATACTCCCTCCTCCCTCCCTCCTTCTCTCTCTAGCCGTTGCTTCGCCTATTCAACCGGAACTTGTCAAACACTTTCCCCCCAATCAAAACCCTTCACGATCATAACAACCTCACCAATCCCCGTAATTTTCCTTACCTTGAAAGCCCCACTTCCACATTTATATAACCTGTTCCATTGTCCTAGCCATAGCACAGCACGCACGGTAAGAGTCATTAGCGTAATATTTTATCTTCTAACTTTAGTTAGTTTCATGGATTGCTTGGTCTTGCCTGTCTCCTTGTTGCGAAGGCGCAGCACGACATCAGGCCTACGCTACCGGCCTCTGAGGCAGGATGGATATGGCGATTTGGACCGACAAGTGACGGTGGTGGTAGGGAAAGAGAAGAGGGAATTTTTGGTTGACCCTTTCGTGTTAGAGGAGAGTCCATTCCGGGCTTTGATTGACACAATGAAGAAGGAATATGGAAGTCAAGTTGATGCGAGAAGGGAGAAGAGGAGGGTGATTTTCGTGGACGTGGATGCTATCTTGTTCGAGCATATGCTTTGGTTGATGAACAATGATTGCTCTTCTCTGTTTCAGCTCAACCTCGAGGAGATAATCGACTTCTATGCTCAGGATAATTAGAGTGGAGAAGAGAGGTACATTGGTTTAACCAAAATGTGAGTTGATTGACATATCCTCCTGTAATCTAAACACTACAAGCACTCACAGAAACGGAAACAGTATAACTATTTCTCTCTTTATTCATCCTCCTCTTTCTCTTCTTTGCCTCCTTTCTTTTCTTTAATTACCAGGAGATTGACACTCCATTTTATACAAATTAATGCTGATTCCTTTCAACTGGTTGTTACTATTCCATCGATCCTTCTCCCAGGTTGTGATGCAGCCCTGTTCATGAGCTGTATCTTGCGTTTTACAGTGAAAAACAATAAACACGCTTATCTTCTTTGGGGTGTCGAAGAAGTAATAATGTTTCTAACTTGATTTCAGCTTCTCCAATTCACAATATATTTGGGTTAAGAGCAGTTCACGCAGATAATTACAGTTGAAAATAACCAGTACTAGTACTTAAGTATACTTTGAAAGTTTCAGCTCTCAGTTTTGCTAATTACTTTGCAATTGTCATAATAATACAACTTTGTTGCATTTGTATGAAATGATGTGAATGCCACAGATTTAGCCCATCTCTAACTCACGTAACCTTTAAGTACATTAAATCCAATCTCGATCACAGAGAGATAAATGTACTTAATTAAAAACAACAAGAGGTCTACACAATCCTTGATGAAACAAATGAACAAGGCGTAATGATCATAAACGCAAAGAAAACATAGGTGTTGTTTTCATGTGCTAATTAAGTAAACTATCCTGGACAAAATCTATCAGTCTTTTCTTATTCTTTTTCTCTTTCTCTTTATCATTCCAAACATATTTTATGAGTACATTAATTCAAACAAGACGTTAATTGAAAAAAATTATAGTCGAAAAAAAATCATAAAAATATCATGTAAAAAAATTAAAATCACAAAATGTATAGGTATAATTTTCTTGATAAAAGTATCTTTTGTCTAATTCCAGACTTGGACCGATCTGAACCAAAGTAGATGCTGAAAACTTTGGGTTTGTTGGTGCATTAAGAGAAAGGTTGAAATTAAAATTATAACCCAAAGAAAAGAGAAGATTGAAGTTAAAATCAGGTCAAATGTTAGAACTTCTATCGGAAAAGCTACCCAACACAAAACTTAAAGCCACAAATTTCTAAGAAGAATTTAGCTTCAACAACGATTTGACAGACAGGGAAAGAAAAAAGAAACCCTAACTCGTTTATGTATAAAATCCATGTGAGCATATCCAAACTGGAACCTGGGTTTGGGGTTTTAGGCCTACTGGAGTCATGTTGGGTTGGGCCCTAGAAAGCTTTCCATGACCAAAGTTCAGTTTTGCATTATGTATATTTTTTGGGATAAATCCAAGTGCTTCAAATGGTCACTAGTGATTCAAATATCTAAAAACCAAGTTAACCATAGATATATTCTTTTACTAAATTTGAAAATCACATTTATTAGTGTAATTCAATTACAGAATTCCTTCAAGAAGGAAGCACCACCAAATATCAAATTCACATCCATTGCTTTATTGGGGGGTGGGATGCGTCCTTTATGTTTTCTTTAGTATCTTAATGTTAGGGTATTGGTATGGAATAGGGGGTTCGGATCTCAATTTGATTAAGGCATTCTGTAATTGAATTACATTAATAAAATCTATTCCACTTGCAAAAAAACAAAATAAAAAAATTGAACTTCACATCAAAATTGGACCATGTAAACTTACCCTCATCATCTCCTTCTAGTGTTTAGATTCTGATTCACAGTCACATACATGAATGACCCAAAGCTGGTTTGCTGTGCAATTTTTCTTTCAACGCACAACACAAAATTCTTCTACTTTTCCAATATCAAAGAAAGAAGGCCAGGATATTTGATTAAAATGCTGACTCTTTTTGCTTAGGATTTACATAATTGCTAATTGCTTTTTAGTCAATGGTAATCATGATGCAGTTTGGAACTTATAAGCACTGTTGATATGTTGTTAGGGACAGCATCATTTCTTAGTATTTCAAACTTAATTTCATTTTCCTGTCGTGGATCGGATGAAGAATAATATTTTAATATTTAAATGTTAATCATGAATTTGATTTGTCAATTACTATATTTATGCATTTTTTTAGCATCATTAATCAAAGTTATTCAATAAAACAAACCCAAATTTGGGGTCAAGAAAGGGGACTCTCCGTGGTACGTTGTCATCATCGTTGTCGTCTACCCTATAATCAATGTCGTTGGGAGCCAGAAAACAAGCTACTTCTTGGAAATGAGGTTTAGCCCTAATTGATAATTGTTTATTGGGGGTTGAGAGTTGATTAAATTAAAATGAATAGAAAAAAAAACGAGGTTTTTTTCTTGTGAGAATAGAAAATTTTGATTATCCAGAAAGGTGACAGCTTAGAATCAAATGTTGTAAAGCCTAGGCATGATTTGATATTTAATAGGTAATAGTGTACGTATGACTTGGTCAGCTCTTGTTTGGAAAACCAGGTTTTGCTCATAATTGTTCTACCACACTTGCACTATTTTATTCATCTTTGGTATGCTAAGATCTTCATCTTCTAACTACTATTCAGCTAGCTTCTCAAAGTCATTTCATCATCATTTTGTTCTTTGCTTTCTCTACATCATCATCTTCATCCCTATCACCGGTTGGTTATTTCGGTTTCGACCCAATTTTACTCAATACTAGTAAGCTCAGTTAATGAAGATCTATATATCAAGCATGACTTAACAATTTAAGCAATTAAAAGATTTTTTTTTTCTTGGCATCTTCCTATTTTGATTTATCCAAAAAAAAAAAGAACTTTGGCTTACTTTCTATACTTAATTATCTAAACAAATTGACAATGATTTTATCGACCCAAATCTGGTTAATTTGACTAGGACATAAAACACTGCTACTTAAGTTAATTGTACAATGTTATACCAATCATGTCTAGGGGAATTTTGTTTGTTTTCATGTTCTTATCACAAAGAGCTATAAGTCTCACCCTCCGTTTATTCTTGTCATTAATTTAAGGTATCATATATATGCAATGCAAGAGGGTATAAACGATTCTCTTGTTATGCCACTTCTTGATGCTATTAGAATTGGAGGAAGGATAACTAACTACAAGCACAAATCAAATTTGATTTGGTTAAAGTAAAAAAAGAAAAATCAAATAAGAAAGAAACTGGAATGATGGAAATTCTATATATATCACCAAAAGTAAATAATCAAATTAATCAAGAATTGTAGAATTCTCTTGACTAAATTATGAAGAATAGACAATCTTACTGTAAATTATGTGTGCGTGTATCTATATATATATATATATATATAATTACTGTTTTTTTTTTAATTTGGTACATAATTAGAGATTGTTCGTAAGTAGTATAGTGCACCTATAGCCTTTAAATTAAGGGGTTTTATTTTCTGATTGTTATATATATGTATGGATAAGTTTAGAAGATAATTAACATAAATATAACAAAATCATAGCATTTCCATTCACTCCAAGGTTACCATGATCGCTGGTTAAGCTGTAGAGCATGTGAATTTGCTTCTTTTTTTCTTTTTGTGCAATTAGTTTGCTTTTGCTTTCAATACTCTCAGAAATTTTAGTAGATTAAATACTTTGGGAACACTTCTAAATATATCAAAACCAAAAGTAAATATTATATCACGCAAGGGATGGTTCATGAACTGTGTTAACTCTTGGGTATGTGTATTCAACTTCTCAGATATTAGTGTTTAGTTCAAAACAACAGACTGATCAAAACGAAACAAAAAACCCTGGAATAAAATGGGCATATTCCAGAACTAAAGTTCTTTAGTACCAAAGAGACTAAAATACAATTCTATCTTAAGACAACGCACAATGAGAATAATATGTTTCAGCAATGTTGATAATTGGCGCAAGGCAAGCATTTTCTTTCTCCATAAAGGAACCTTGGTATAAGGATTCAAAGTGGAGAATAGATTCATTCACTGACAATAATTTTTTACAAAATATATATTATTTAAGTGCACTATTGATGGAATACCTAACTGATAGTAAACAGACTAATGAAGATCATGGCTTATGTTATTTCTTAATGAAGCGTGGAAGCATTGATTTTGAAGAGGCTGTAATCGTAAGCAAGAAAGGAATCAGCATCAAGATGGATAAACAAGACCATTATTTGATCACAATATGCAATCAGAAAAAGCTTTTACGGCCAATTTCTTTCGCATGAGGTATCTATGTTATAACATTTGTTAAATCATTGTATCGCTATCTTTATAAACAGGAAATTCAGTCTTCTGATTGAACCATGGAAACTTTAATCCTATCAGTCAGATGGAGGATAATCTTATGGAAAATGCCCAACTCTTATAATTAATAGCTAAAAAAAAAAGGCAGTGATGGTATTTAAGTAAAAACTAAAAAAGGGTTATCGGATTTGGGAGCATGCATAGCTGCCAATGCTATGAATGGAGAGGACTGTTGGTGGAAGAAAGGCTCTAAAATCAAGTTTGTGCAGATGGAAAAGCCTAAATAAGTTAATATATCCTTTTCCATGTAAGAGTACTGTTATTCATTTTAAAACCATTGCCCTACTGTACCAATTCATTAACAAACACCAAAAAGAATATTTGAATATATACAGAGGCACTTGCTTTAATTAAAGATATTTAACATAGACTACCTTTATAATTAAAGAGTGCCCCATGAGTTCAAAACATTTTGACATTATTACTTATAATTCTTTAAGTATACAACTATTTATTTAGAGTTTTACTTATTAAAGCAAAAACAATGTTTAAGAAATTATATAATAATGAAGATAAAATAATATCTATAATTTTTTTTGTGAGGAAATAAAATCTGTCATCCATCCCATTGATAAGGAGAGGGAGAGATACTATATGTTATGTTTCTTTTGGTTCTCCCTGGAAACTATGCACAGGCTGATCTCTAGGGAATTCTAAGGAGGGTGTTGAAAGATTTAAGGACAACATTTTGATTCTTATAGTACACACTCCCACCCCAAATGGGTGTCCAAAATAATCAGAAACAGAAGTACTGGAATCTGAGTAGATAGCCACAAAGCAACTGTGCTGCAAGCTGAATGTATTTATGAATGACTCTTGGCTCAACTTTATATAAATTTTGATCACCTAAGCTAATAAGACGCCATCTCTAATTATGTGACCAGAAAAAGGCTTCTGTTACCATCTTGTTCATGGAGATATTAATGGAAGCTTGTTTTTGAAACAATAATGGGTTTATAAAGGAGCAGTTTTGTACTTGTTAATGGAGAGGGTGCTTAGATTTTTGGTTATGTTTTGGTTTAATTCAAAAAGATTTTAGAAGAGAAGAATTTCTTCTG